TTTCTTAATAAGTTAACATTAGATTTATGATATATTTAATTTTCAAATTCATTATATTGAATTTTCTTGATATTATATATTATTCACTTTTTGACACAATTATATGACATAACGTTTTTTTCTTTTACATAGTATGATTCAATATTGTATTCATATGTAGAATTTTATTTATTATCTAATTGAAAAGAAAAGTATCTTTTTTGGAATCTTATGAATATATTTATTAAAAATTGAAGCATCATTGAAAATAAATAACAATAATCAAATGACATCACTTTATGTTTTCTTTTTTCAATATCGCTGAAAAAGTTCTAAATTTTGTTTAAATAGTTTTAATGAATATGTAAGAATACTTTCATTATTTATGAGCTACTCTTAGACATTAACAAAGTAGTAGCATAACGAGCCGAAGACAAGAAGCAGCTGAACGCTTTTTATAAAAAAACCTTAAGATTCTCTTCTACCAAAAACGTTGATCTGCTTACATCATTACAACAAAAAAATATGAATGTACTCAAATTATGTGTTAATACATTAATTAAATAGAAGAAAGATATAAAGAAATCCTCTTTCGTGTCCATCAACAGACGTCTTTTTAATCGGATTTAGTAAATTATAAATTCCTAGAAGTAGATAATCAGCAATAGAATTATTTTGTTTGTAACTGAAAACTTGACACAAGACGTTGTTTAGAGTGTTTGTAAACGTTTTTGTCATCATTAAAGGTAAATAATTTTATAAAATTATATTGGGACTGCCAAAAATCATAGGTATCTCTCTATTTCTCTCGATACGAATGTCTTCACATTTTCAATATCCTCCTGTAAATATCAAACTTCGAATGAACACATTTGTTCATGGTAATTACTATCAAATATTATATATCAGACCTGAAAAGTATTTTAAAAAAAATGACGTCTGGCATAATTAATGAAGCATATGCAGAGAAAAATTCTAACCTTCAAATAGTCTAACAAAAGAAGACATTACTTTATCGATCACATTCTCTATTTCATCTTGTGATTTAAGATTCTTTATTTTATTTTTATGTTTGATTATGTTCTATACCAGCTCAATAACATTAAAATCAGGACTATAATTTGATCATTCATATATTTCAACATTATATTCTTAATTAGAGAATGCGGTCATTGAAGTATTTAATGATTTACACATAAATGTTATTCGAAAATATTTTAAGAAAAATAGAAACAATACATCAACACTTTGTATCTTCGTTTTAAACTATATAAGTGTTTCTTCATATCTATCTTCATAACATGTCTCCAACTATAAATTGTATATATTTTATATCAAAAATACGATTCGCAATACTTTTGTCGTTGGTAGTATGCTTAACAGTAATTTTAATATTGATCATCAAAAAAAACTTAATCCAAGAGCATTTTCGAACATATCAATAGATTACATTGGATAGAAGTCAACGAAAACTATCGATTCATGTATAAAACAAGTCAAAAAAAGATTATAGGAACTGTACATTAATCAAAAAGAAAGAAATGCTTGTAATTAGTATAAAATAGTTCTTAGTAATATTAGATTGTACAAAGCTTGATAACGTCAATTAGAACTTAACAAGAACTATCAATTATATATTATTACATGACAGCTAATTGCGTATTTTCGACACTTCCATAATATGACGTCAATGTGTCATGTTTATTTGACACAACACAAAAGATGGCCGCATACGGCTGTCTAAGTATCTTAGTATTCATTCAGAATTGAAGCAAATTCTTTTTTCTATTTTTATTTTTATGAGCTTATGAAAATTCTTACATGTTATACGCATGTGTAGAATCTACTTAAGAGAAAGAGATTAGAGTGTATTTTTTTTTTGTCGTGATTAGTTGCAATTTTTTCTCTGACATATCATTCGAACTAGTTTCTTATTTAATATGATATGATTTTTATTGCGTATATTATTATTTAAGTTTTCGAATCATTTTTAATAAAATTATTTGAGGAAGACAGATGTTCTGTCTATCCAAAATAGCATCTTGTTTTCTTACTTGATTACATTTTCTATTCAGTTTTTTTATTAATAGTATATAAAAATAACAGTGAATGTCCCAACTTGTCCTGCTTTTTTTTTTTGTCTTTCTTTTGTCTCTCCTTGCTCGTGTCAATTTGCTATTGACATTTAAATAATACATTCGTGTTAAATAAATCACAATATGCATATATTTGAATTTATTTTCTAGAATTCAATTTAACTATTCTTATTCAAATATTAATATTAAAGTCTAATGTATTGAAGTAACTTAAAGAAAAAAAAAAAGGAAAGTAGAATACTATTAATATAATTAAATATAGTAAATTTTAATATAGAATCATTTCGTATCCTATACAAACATCTTAAACTGAAAAACGATAGTCCACAAAATAATCATTATTGATATTTTGAATACAAACTCATTTATATTTAAGTATTCATGTTACTAAGTTGAATCATTAACAATCTATTGAAATCATTAATTTTTTTTCTAATATTTCCTCATTACTGAAGTTATTAATTCTCTTGTTGTTGTCAATAAACGAAGTGTTTACGTCGTTCTGCAGCTATATGTCAACTCTATGACGTCGGTATCAAAAGAAAATTTTTACATTCTAAGAGCTAATTAGTGTTAAATAAGAGACATTTTATATTTTATAGATGCAAAAAAACTAAAACCAACCGATCATGATGCACTTGTGACCTAATAATCATAAACAAATATGTATACATTCTTAAGTCAGGCTTTGACCTATATTCCTTAATGTCGAGAAACAGAAAATAAGAAAATGCTAATAATATTTACATAGATGAGAAAATAGAAATACATTATACTAATCAATAACAAAAAAAAAAAAAAAACTAATGCACTATTCTTTCATAATTTTAATTATTTATTTCAACGGTATGAAGTAAAAGTTCAAAGTATATTCAATTAAAGAGAAATTCTTTTTTTGCACGAAAAAGAAAATATAATAATGAAATAAAGTATTAAATGATAATTAAAATAAATGAATTTAATTTTTCAATTAGTATCTTTTTGTTAAATTATTGAATTTTTGGAAGGTTTACAAATATTTTATATTTGATTAGCATTTATAATAAAACTATAAGTTTCATAACCAATGAACTATTTCATTTAATAATCTTTTTTTGTTTTTGTTCATATAACATTTATTAATTTGAAGAGAAAATGACACAACATTCAACTATTGTTATTTAATATTTTGCAAAACTTAATAGAAACTAAGTTCTTTCATAAAGTAATTTCAAATATTTATTTCAAAAAAAATTTTCATTATTAAAGTCACCAATTATCTTTGATGATTTATGAGTTTTTGACAATAGATCAATGAAATTTAAGACAGAAACAAAAATAAAGTTAAATTTGTAAGAGAAAAAAAATTGCTCAAATAAATTAATTCAATATTTTTCTTTGATATTATTCATTGTCTAGTCGTTAATTAGTTTTATCAAGGTTTTATATAATATAAAAGGAAATACGGTACAATTGCCTACTCTATAGTCAAGTAAAATACTTCTAAATTCATAAGAAAATTACTTTTTTTTTTAATTATCAAATGATGATAGAAAAATATATAAATAACATAAATACTCTAATTGCAATTGATTTGAACCTCCATAAAATGATTTCCATTTTTTACTAATAAATAATTTTGTAGTTTCTTATTTAATCAATAGTATGAAATTTAAAATGAATCACATAATGATCTATTTTGAATTTTTATTATTTATATTTAAACATTTGTTTAGGCACTTCTCATCATCTTCCATATGTCCTAACACTCAAGCATATACTTTTCTCATCATGCCACTAAGAAACAAGTGCAAAGTACACATTACCTTTTGAAGCATAAAAATATATTCTCGTCTATTATGCATATGTTTCAATGAGATTTAAAACTTATACTGAAACATGATGTTATTCTTCTTGATGAAATCAATAACATATTAAAAACTACGTTTATGAGTAGCAATGTTTAATAGAATGTTAATACTGACTCAAGGTGAAAATAATATGAGTCATTATGTCTTTTTTTTTTCTTATTCCATATACCTTGATGACAAATATCTATGTACTATTTTGATAATATGTATAATGCACTGTTTCACACTGGGAAAATGACCAAAAAAGTCTTTCTGTACAAAAGGAAACAAAGTACAAAGTACATTCTTTTCTTCTTTGATTTCTATGTCAAGAAAAAGATTATAAATAGCATAAACAAAGAAAACGACATGATCAAGTGTAGTATATTGCTTACGTTAACGGAGTATTTGTCTTTATCTTAAGCACATAATTTTTCTATAGTTATATTATTCAAAATTCTCTCTATCAAACGTTAGAATTGTTAAGTGATCATTTCTAAAATATCACATTGAGAAGATCATTCGAAATGTACTTTTTTTCCTATGAAGAATCAATCATACTAGACTTTTATTTGAATATTAAAGCCATGTAAAGAATTCAAATATCTGCAAATTAGTTTATTTTCGATTTTTGATTCATAAAAATAAATATACACAAAAAAAAAAGCCCCTACATTTCTTCTTTTATAAATAAATTCAACATCAATCAATATTTACAGAACTGTACCCAACTCTAAGATTTCCTTTCGAATAAATTAAATTGAAATCTTAAAAGTTTAAAATACAGTTATAAAAAGAAAAGATCATTTCATCAAATCAAAATACTTTTATGTATTTTTTTTTCTTTTTATTATATGTTCATCATTGGATGTAAGCGTCAAAAAAAAACGAAACATACATATGCATATATACATATACCACTGTTTTCTTTTTCATCAATCAACATCAAAACAATGCAAAAGTTTTTAATGGATATAATCACAATGCAGTAAAAATTTAACAACAGCAAAAAAAAAAAAGAACATGTTTCTATATTGAGAATTAATTAGGCTGTTGAGATTATCAAAAATTAACATGAATATAATGAATTTTGTTTTTATGCTAAAAATAAATAAAATTATCTTTACTCTAAGAATAAATCTTTTATCTACCTTCTAATAAACGAGATGCAACATTTTTTTCATAAAATTCATTAAGAGGACTCAATAAATCAAGTACCTGAACAACAAAAATAAAAAATAAATTCCTTATTTATTTAACACACACACACACACACAAAAAGAAGAAATCATTCTAACAAACCTGTAAAATTTTACCACATAATATTTGTCCTTCTTGTGCACCATGATTTTGACATAACTCTTGATGAAGTGCATAAAGATAACAAGCACGTAACCTTTGTTGTATTTCACTATCTTTTATAGTTAAATCTAGAACAAAAAAACAAACAAATTTTAATTAATTTTAACAATATTCACTATGAAATTTAACCTGTATGACACATTTGTAAAGGTATTACAAGACAAATTTCAGTTTCAGTTAAATTAAGACTATGAAAACATTGACAAAATTTAAATACTTCATCGGTCATTTCAACTCCATATAATATATCCATCCAACGACGTGTATATTGAAAACCATCAGGTGATAGTAGGTAACCTTGACCATTATCATTTAATAATAAACAAGCATATTTAAGCTTAAATATTAAAATAAGAAAAAGAAAAACTATTTTATTTAATATAAAATTAAATATTTACCATATACCAATCAAATGTTCGATGAAGAATTATTGTATGTAAATTACCTAAACCTATGTTAACCATACCGGGTAGCTAAAAATACACATACAAAAAAAAATAATTTTTTATTTTTGTTGTTTAAATATTTGTATTCTTACTTCTTGAATGTAAAAAACAGATGAACGAACAATAACTTCAACAGTTTCTAAAAAAACAAAAGATAATTTTCCTTTTCTTTGTTTATTTTTATGGTAATAAATATACTTGGAACAGTAGCAAGAAATTGTGCAACTGTTGCATTATCACCTGGATATTCCGTAATACCATTAAGAATCATTTGATTCATTCGTGTTTCTAATTGTTTAATACGTTTTGAATGTCGAACATAAATATCATATGATGACCAACGAAGAAATCTAATATAACATTTAAAATAAAAAAAAAAAGAACAGGATTAATATTTTGACAATGAAAAAAACAAAACAAAAATTTTTTTTTTTCTTCTTACTGTATAAATGCTAATTCATTATCCGTTAATTGAATAAGTAATGTTGATTTTTTTTCAATTAGTTTATTTGATATATTATTAACATGTTGTAATAATTCATTAGATAAAATACCTGTTGAATGTCTAATTAGACCATCAGTTTCATCTAATGTAAAATCATCGGGTAAATATGTTGGATATTTTGTTTGATATATAAACGATGAGTTTTTATTATGATTATTATTTGATATTGTATCAATATCATGTTGAGATAGATTTGTTTGTATTAGTGAACAATTTATTATTGGATCATTATATAATAAAGAATTAGTCTGAGATAAGTTAATATTATCTGGATAGATTTTAGATGATGAACAATTTCGTTGCATAGCTGATATTTGTATATCCTTAATATCTAAGTAATAAGAAAATTTATTTCAAAGATTGCTTATTGAATATTGTACATAGATTAATGATTTTAAATTGTCTATATGTCATAGATAATTTTAGTAAATATAAAAAAAACCTTGCAGATGAACATGATCTCTTGTATTTTTTTCTTTTCGTTGAGAAAAAAATGTATCATAATTTTATAAATATTGAAATAATATCTAATTGAATACTTTTATAAAAACAGAAGGTCATAAGTACTGAGTTTTATTTTGCACGTGCATTGTTTTCTCAAACCGGCATGACTTACATTCACAAGCATATGTTTTATAGGAAAATATAAATCTTATTACATAAATAGATATTATTTGTTGTCAATTAATAAACACAAAAAATTATCTCACCTGTTTCCACTGCATTTGGATCGTAATTTTCAATACTACGATCAGATAATGATGAACATGATGATGAATCTCTAACATGTACATCATCAGTTCTTTCATTAGTTTCTGTTGATGTTGCTTTTTGTCTCATCTGTTGTTCTTTTTGTTCGAGTAATGCTCTTTCTTTAACTAATTTTGGTATTCGTCCCATTTTTACACCTACATTTGTACGAAATAAATAAAATAAAAAATTTTGTTTTTATTTTTTGATCAAAAATATTTCAAGTATTTAATTTCATTCTTACCGTCTACAGACATGCCCTTGTCTATACATCGTTTAAATCGACATGCTTTACAACGATTTCGATTGGTTACATTAACAAGACATGAATTATCAAAATAACATCGATATTTTTCTTTACGCAGAATACTTCGTTTGAAAAAACCCTAATAAAAAAAAAAAAAACATGTTAATCATTCAAGTGTAAAGATCACGATGTTTTTTCTATAAGATAATAAGAATATATTAAACAAATTATCTTTTAATTAAAGATGTAGAATATAAAATTTCTCTTATTTAATAAAATGATTTCATAGAAGAAGAAGAAAAAAAAACAATAGAGAAATGATTATATTGAATTTACATCGAAAAGTTTTTAATTATAAATCTTTATATTTATAATAACTAATATACTTATTAATCATGAAATAATAAGAGGAAAAGAATTGTTTTTTCATTCTTACTTTACATCCTTCACATGTAGCTATGCCATAATGAATTCCAGTAGCTGAATCTGAACATACACGACTAAAAATAATCATATATAGTTAAAAAAAAATATTATTTAATAAATTCTTACCAAGGTCCAAAAGGAAATGTTAATCGTGCTCGTTTTGATTTTAATGTATTTGTTGGTGTATTTGATCGAGATCTTAATGATTCACTATTGTTCATTATGGTGATTTCATCATCGCTATCAGTTAGAAAAGTTACGTCACTCGTAGTCATTACAAAGAGTGAAAATGGTGAAAATGATCTATATAACCAAAAAAATATATATATGACCGTAATCTAAAACATAATAATACTAAATATACATTTCACTGTCGTTCTTTTTTAATATAAACATTGATTATGTATGTCACTAAAGATAAGTATGATTATGACTTACACTAATAGTCCTTCTTTAGACATATAAAATGCGCAAATGATAAAGAAAAAATTTCCATTGATAAAAGTGCATTAATGTAGGTCAAGTTAAACGTTCTTTACTTGTTGCAGTGCGTCTGTGACTAACATCAATATGTGAGAAAAGCAACAGACAGAAACAGAAAAGAAAAAGAAAGAAAAGAAATAGAAAGTAAAGCAAAAGGCGAAGAACCATGGTTTATATAACACGTTTGACAAGGACGGTCACTTATAATAACGACGTACCGATCTGTTCTATATATTCATGATTATGTCATTTTTTTTAGATAATATTCATTCTAATTTAAATCCTTGTTTTTTCTTTTTTTGCGTATAAAAATCTTTCTAACAGAAACAATTTGTTTTCGCGACTGTCAATATATAAAGACGTACTTTGAAATTTTGTTTTTTTTTAATCAGACAAAACAACAAGAAAAGTACTAAGAGCACAAAAAAAATTTTCTCACGGTGCTCGTGATCACTCTGATTAATGAAAAAAAAAAGAATCATACATAGCCAGGGGATCATATGTTACTATTCTATTTCACCATTAAGTAAGCAACTATCAAGGTAAATTTATCAGTCATCGAATAGTCCAGAAAAAAAACGAAGGAAAAAATTGACAAAAGTGCAAGAACGATAAGATCGTAAAAGAGCCAGATTGGGATAACAAACGTCGTAAAAAAGTAAGAATAAGTACGAACCAGAAAGAGAATGAAAGAAAAAAAATGCGGTCATATAAAGACGTTAAGACCATTAAAATAAATGCTTCATTTAAGTTCGTTGGTACTGATAAACGATAAACGGGCGTGTACAAGAAAATCACGTGGTTAATAATCATGTACACCGAATGATGTAAGAAAATACCAAATAAATTATTGGTAGTCTTTGTAACTATATGAATAGAAAAGGTACAAAAACGATTTGCAATGTTCGTAAAATACAAAGACAAAGAAACTAAATCTTGTAAGGTATAAAATTGGTAAAATTCACTATTTATCTGAGAAGACAAAAACAACTTGCATGAATACAGATAATATGTTGGAAAGATAAAAAGAAAATATAGAAACAAAAAAACAAGCAGAGACCATTCTATTGTTATCCAATATGTTGTTTGATGTCGATTGAAATATTTACTGGTGAATAGATAATCATGATTTAGCACACATGCATACAAAAACATCCGACATAAAAAAATAATTACATATTAACTCTAATATATATATATTTGAAATTAAAGGTAGTAATAAAAGTACAAATGGATAGGAATACAAAGCAAGCGAAACTATACGCCTGCACATTGACTCACTTCATATGAAAATTACAAGAATACGGAATAACAAACATTTGACAACTTGACAATTTCCGAGAAAGAAAGAAAAACAAATACATTTACTATCTTAAAATAGTCATGTTTGAAGTACAAAATAATGGACAGTATTTAATAGTATTAAATTTATAATATGTTTGATTTTTTATTCTACTCGATATCATATTTACTTATTTATTATTCATAGTTGACTTCAAATCTAAGAATATATTGAATGATTTTATATTAATAATTGAAATTCTTATTTCTATGTCATATTCTATTTATTATTATTTTAATCATATAAAAATGAATATTCATATAAGAAAAGTTAAATACTCCTCATAAATCAATATCAATTCACAATACCTTTTCAATTGAATACGCCTAATATTACCTCATAGTTAGTAAAAAAGAACGTAGTTTTTTTTATTTTCGTAAGTGAATTATTCAATAATTTAACGAATAATTTTTGTCGAAGTAATCTTACCTTCGTTATACAATGATAAACTACAACGAGTATATAATAAAAATATATTTATCACGAAATAAATTCTTTAATCATAAAAATTGATGAATAAACATAGAGAAATAAATCACATCCTATCATATTACACTGTTTATGCTACTGTTGGCAATATTTGATTACTAGTATCGCTCTGCTCTATATATAGCACACAATTTATTATTAAAATATAACAGAGAAAAATCATTTTTTTTTCTTCCTTTTTTTCTTTCTACATTTCCTTTTAAATATAACATGTGAAACCATCAACATATATATATATATATATATATATGAAGATATGACATAGAATACTTTTTCTCTGAAGATATAAGCAAGAAAATAAACAAAAATCATATTGTTTTATACCTAAAATAAATCAGATCATAAATATTTATTATTTTCTAACGTTTGTTCTATATCGTTGATTTAAATTTTCTGTCAATTTTAATTATAAGAAAAATTTCATATTTATTCTTTCTCGATTTGCCTACCGTAAAAGTCAGATCCAAACCAAATGTTCTTTATAACTGATTGATTTATACAGCACTATTAATATTTCATGACATACATAATACAAATATTATTTCTTTCACTGAATAACTTTTCATAAGTTTACCTGTATCGATGATTAATTTTGTGTATATATATGGGCGTGAATAGTCAGCGTGATACCCCGATTTACGTTCTTTCTATTATCAGTTAACAACTTAATCATATTCGGGTCAAATTATCACCCTCATCCCCACCCAACTAAATTTAAAATATTAGCTCCTGATGGGTGTCTTATATGAAATTATTCAGTTTCCAAAATCGTGTTCTATCGGTTTTTTCTGGTGCTGAAAAATTTCATATATGACAGCAATCAGAAGCTAATATTTTAAATTTAGTTGTGTGGTGATGAAGGCGATAATTTGATCCGAAAATGATTAGGTTTTTAGCTGATAATAGAAAGAAAACAAATCGGAGAATCCCACTGACTGTTCGTGCCCCTATTATTAAAACGAAAAAAAGCAACAGAATAAATAATAATTTTTTGTTTTTTAATTAATTATTCATAAATTAAATGAAATATCATCATTGATTTTTTTTTTTTTTGAAAAAAAAGAAATAATCTTTTTTTTTTTCGTTTATGAATATTTTATTGTGTACACTATGATTGAATAAGTCAAATTAAGTATATCATTGGTACGCTTTGTTATCAGAACAACAAAGGAAATAATGAATGAAATAGTGAAATGAACAGAGAAAGAGAGCGAAAAAAAAGAAGGGCAAAAAAAAAAACAGAGGCACATTCACATTAATTCATTTTGTTACATACACACGGTGGTGAAAAAGAAAAACGAAATGCAAAAAGAGAATCATGTCTTGTCTCTTCTGTGTTTTACACACAGACATACACAGATAAACATAGCTTTGCCTTAACTTATTTTTCTCAAGTTTGCCACAATAAAGCGAACGAGAGAAAGACAGAAGAAATGAATACAATTTTTTTTTTTCAATAAAGATATCATGCATGTTTTATAAGATTGTTTTTATGTCATTCGGAAAGTGGATCGATGTTACTTTCAGTTTGTTTGTTTTTTTTTTTTGTGAGTAAAAAGAAAAAAAAAACAGAAACGATTATTATTTAATTTCTACAGACATACAGACAGATATGATAAGAATAATAAGAGAAAAAAAAAGAGAAGAAACTGCACACATACATAAACACTCACACATATGTGTGCACACACACACACACACACACACACACAAAAGGAATTCGAAAGAGTATTTAATTGTTTTTGCATTAAATATTTTTTTTAAAGACATAGATGAGGAAGAAAAAAGAGAAAGCGATGATCTTAATGCTTTATTTGTTTATAAATCATTCGTTATTGCAATTTAATTTGTTTGCTTTGTTTTTTTTTCCAAATACAAAGGACGGGAAATTGACGATAATAGAATTCAAAAAATACGCACACACACTGTTTTAAGAATAGCACTACTTTTTTTTTTTTTTTTTGAAACGAAACAGAGTAACAAATTCTTTCTTTCTTTCTTTTTGTTTTTTTGTAGGGAATGTTTTCGCGTCCCATCACTGCGAAAAAAAAAGTTGGTAACTATGTACACTGTTACACGACACAAAGAAATAGAAATAGTCAAAAGAGATTTGAAAAAAAAAAGAGTAGTGCAAATAAAACACTGAGTTTTTTTTTTTTTTGTTTTGTTTATCTTAATCAATAAATCTTTTATATGTGTTTGTGTGTGCATATATATCATTGCACTGTTGTGAATAAAATACAACTAACAGGAGGAAATGTTGTTGTTTTTTTTTGTAGTTTTAGAAGAAACAATAAGCAAAGATAGAGAAAAAGAGAGAGAGAGAGAGAGCTAACAGCACCTCTATTGCACCCCGATTGCGCGCATTAAAGAGGAGACCATAGAGAGATATAAAGATTGAAATATATATATATATATATATGTATATGTACAGGAGATCAATTATGGACGAGACGAAGAAGATAAAACATGTTGGTTTTGTGTTTTTGTTTTGCAGCAGATTGCGACAAGAAGAGATACAATTACACGAGAACACACATACGCACACACAGACACACACATTGAATTGATCTATTGAGATAAAAACAAGAGAGCGAGAGAAACAGAAGAAGAAAAAAAATTGATCTAGCATTGTAGATAGAATAGATTAATGAGCATATATTAGAAATTAAAGAATATTCATTGTTTTGTTTTAAATTAAGCAAAATACATGACTTGAGCCGAATCAGGATGTACAGTTACTGCACGACTCAATTGAACTTGTTGTTGACCATTAGAATCACCATTCGATGATTGATGTGAACCTTCATTACTAAAATATATCAAAATAAAAAAAAACAATTTATTATAAAAAAAAAAAAAAGAAGATATTCTTTTGATAATAAATTCTACCTTTCGGGTTCTCTTTCAATTAAATGATATCGTGCGCGAAATGCAACAAGATGAGCATAATAAGCTGGTGCTGGTATTGATACAGAACGTGTACATCGTACATATGTATGACATAATTGATATGTTAATGCTTGAAGTTCATCAGCAGAAAAATGATTATCATCCCATAAAACATGATAATGTGATGGTCGAGATGTACCTTGTATACCAGCATGTGAACATAAATAAAAATCATATTCTGTTGGATGAGTTATTGCAACATCAACTGTTGTACCAGGTGGAATATTACCACTTTTACCACACTAAATAAAATATGTATATTTTATATTTAATGATTGTTTTTTTTTCTTTGTAAATGAGAAAATAAATAGATTAATCGATGTTTCATTTTCTTTTACTCTTCTTAGAAAATAAAGATGAAAAATTTCCTTTCTTTTTTTTCTATAATAATAAAACTCATCGAACAACTTAAAATAATGATGCACATTAATACATTTCAAGATATAATATCAATAAATATATAAATACTATTGATATCTTCTCTATGATTAGTTTATATTATTTTCTTTATTTAAATATTGAAAAACAAAAAATAGCATTTCTATTCTCTCGTATAAAAATAAACAATATATATCAAACAGTTCAAAGGTCATTCAGTAGCCTTCATTTGTCAATAACATAAGATAGAAAGCTATGAGTGTCATAGTTCAGACCATTGCATGATTTAATAATGTCGGTTAATGACCGAATTATCAGTTAATAGGCTTCCGAAAAGTATTAATAACACAGAAATGTAATTCAAAGAATTGCTCAAGATTCATATGCTCACAACTTCACTGTCAAATATTGCATCTATAACTTTTAAACTTCTATGAAATTCACAGATCTCTCTACCTAAACAAAGATTGTCAGATGATTTTTAAGGCTACTACTATATATTTATGAAAGAAAATCAAACAAATAATCTTTACCTGCTCTTTTTTATCAGCACAGAAAAGACGTGTATGATGACGTTTTTGTACTACAATAAATGTAATACCCGGTTGATAAGATGCTTCAAGACGAACACATGCTTCACGTACAGCCATTAATTCATGTGCAAGTACATGTGCAAATTGTCCTTCACTAACACCATCACGATATAAAATAATACGTGCCGGTTTAAAACGTGTTGATTTATAAAATTGTATAAGTAATTCTCTAACCATAGTTGATAATTCAGCAATAACTTCATGACGATGCATTTGTATACGTACAGTAGCTGCATATCGTGATGGATGTGCATCCATTGAACCAACAACCTATTTTATTTGAAAAAAAAAAATTTTTTTTTATTTTGTTTTATATAATAATAATAATAACAAAAATATTTACAGCAGCTATAGATGGTTTTGAACGATCACCTGCTGGTGGATGTGTTACATCAGCACCAATAAATATAACTGGTTCACGAAAAACACTTATTGGTCTTACACTTGGTACAAGTATATTATTAACACCACCTAATTTAACATTTATTTTTAAACATAAATTTGATAATGTTTGTGGTGTTGTTTTATTAACATTTTTAGCTTGTACACATTGTGTTGCTAAACCAATTAATGTATCACCAACACGTTTAACTTCAGCATAAACAGGTGTTTTACCAGGTAAAACAACAACAATTAATTGTAAACCATTATATGTTGTTTTAAGAAATTTAAACATTGGTTCAACTTGTTCAATACCAGTTGCATATTTGCAAAAACATGGTTGACCAACAATTGGCATACCAGCATCATTTGATATACGTTGTAATTGTTGTGTAAATGTTCGAAGTGATGCTTCATTACAATTACGTTGTGGTGCAAAACATGCTATTGCCCATGTACGAATTTCAATACCTGTATGAAATTGTTTACCACGCATATCCCATACACCTTGATTGGGTGTAACAACAACTTTTGTCTAAAGAAAAAAAAAACCAATTTATTTAAAACGAAATGAGAAAATAAAGATACTTACACGACCACCGTATTGAATTTTAGGTGCTGTTAATACACGACCCATGACTTCTGTCATATTAGTTAAAATATTAATACCAAAATGAGTTACATATACATCATTATTAAATTCAGCTTTGCGTACCTAAACAATTATTAGATTTTTACATAATGATTTTGATACAAAAAAAAAAAGAAAATTTCAGAACTATCATTCACGTGACTATTCGATAGAGGTCGTGAATCCGATAGACTCTAGTCGTTTTAAGAAATGTGTAGAGTGTATGATAATCATCAAATACAAAAACCTATCTCGTATCGTCGAAACAACTATTCAATACCGATTACAAACAATTATATTGCATCGTTTGAACTGTTTGAGAATATTAATAAAATAAGATGTTGTCAGAAAAGTTGATCACGCTCATATTTTACGAGTCTAAATATGACAATTTATCATCAGTCTTAAATAGAGTGTTTGCACTAGTTGACACGTGCACATATTGACTAACGATGAATTAAACTCAGTTTTTTTTTTTATTGATTATGATACAATCGATCGTCTGACATATGTCATATTCGAGAGAATATCAAGAAATTATAGAATGTAAATTTTGACGAACCACTAAATTCAATCTAATTATAAGACTTTGTCGTTGTGTTTAAATTTCGAATTTCTCTCTCCTATACAAAAATGTTCATGTGCGTGAGATTTATTCTCTTTCGAGATTTCATGTTTACAACAAAACAAAAAAAAACGTGATTGTGATAGACATTTTTATTTTAATACTATTCCGATATCTATAAATCTAAATAAAAAAAACAAAAAAAACTTACTAAATTATTAATTTCTTTTTCTCGATCAGGTGCTGAACGTGCTGTAGCCTAAAATATAATCAAAAACAAAAAAAAACATTGATTAATAACAAAAAAATAAAAATTTATAGAAAAAAAAAATGAAATAAATTAATAAGAAAAAATAAAAATTTGCATAACAAAGAAGATAAAAGAGACGTGCTACTTGCTGGTTAAAAATTATCCGAATGTTTCTTAAGATTTTCATTATCAACATTCGTTCCTATCTATGTTATTGTCATTAACAAAATATATATATATATCAGTAAAAAAAAAAAGACTTAGCTAAGTAAAATGTTTCGGTTTTATATATTCATCCCAAACAAACAGCGGTTATATTTGCGCATGTGCTTAAATGTTTTTATTACTTCGGCAAAAAAGTCTGTTCGCGCGCACAAATAAAGACACAAATAATAGTGCACACGTGTATATTGTTGTGTAAAGTTTTTTTTTTACCTGACGTGAATCTTGTTGACTCTATAATAACATATAGATAGGAACGATCTCATATTAGATATATTTATTTAGAAGTTCATTCAAAAGAAAAGAAACATGCTTATCGATGAGAAAAAAAAAATATATCACTCTACCTCACTCGACTACAAATGTATGTGTATATTTGACATAGTAAAATGTCTTATTTAGACAAAAAACAAAATAAGAATTTAATTAAATGCATACCTTAATCATTGTTGATGTTTGCATATCAGTTAATTTTTTAATACATCGTTGTCCGGGAACAATATTACAAACCTATAAGAATTCTTATTTTTTGTTTTAAGAAAAGAAAAATTATTTTGTTAGAAAATTTATACTTCAAGTGGTAAATAAGTATGTTTTTGTTCTTGACCAACTTGTAAACATGGTAAATGTGGATATTGTAATTTCATACGATGTTTTTCATAGAAATATTTAGCAACAGTACATTCAACTGTTTGACCACTTTCAAGTTGAAGAGGAAATCTGAATTTTACATTAAACAAAAAAAAAATCATTTTTTTTTTCTTTTATTAGTTCATTATTAACTTACGTTTGATATTGCGCAGGTTTTCGTGTTACATTACAAACACGATATTTACGTTTCATATTACCACAATGTGTTATTTCAATTTTAAGACCTAAAAATTAATATGAAGTTTTTCATCTATTTTATGATTAATAAACTTAGCAGATTCAAACATATGCTTAAAAAATGCTATATATTTAGCTGTATCCTATGTAAAATACGTATAGGATGTTCCTGAACGCTTTATTTAAGGATATCTCATTATCAATCAACTTTTTTATGAAAGAAAAAAAGGTTTTTTTTTTAAAATTATTGGTCTGCTGATCTTTAGTTTTTTTTTTTATTCGAAGAACAAAAAATAAAATGAAATACGCACATCAAAACAGTGTTTAGTACCCGTAATAAAATTTTCAGCTTGATCGAACATAACATCTCGGAGAAATACCAGAGCGAAAATTGAAACCATTATGATCCCAGTATCTCATAGAAGACAGCATCCGGAAACATTAATTCTATGCATGCCTAATAATTTTCAATGATCCGTTCTCCAGACATGGAAATAGCCTTAATTTCACTATGCTCGTGCAAATAGGTTTAAGGATAACAGTATGAAAATTCTTTTTACCTCGGTGGTGACATCTATATTTGACTATAAAGTTTTCATTTTTAACGAAAAATATTTATTTATTTATTTTTTGTTCAAACCTTTAATTTCTTTCGTAAATTTAACTCGTTGTGCATCATTTAATGGACGTCGTTGTTCTTGAATATCTCGTATATCAAGTACTTCACACATAAAATCAATAACAGGTTGTGATTTATAAAAAGCTGTAGCACTAACTAAAAAACAAAAAGAAATAAATATATAATTCTAAATTATTACAATTAAACAATATTAACCATCAATATTTAATGACATTCGCCAATATGATGGTCGGACAGATTGATGAAAACCAAACCATACTTCACGACCACCCCCCAACGGATTATATTGAACATCAGGTGGTGAAAAAAATGAACGACCAACTGGTGTATATCTAAACGAGTAAAAAAAAACAATATCAATGAATTTTCTTCATTTTGTAATAAAATAAATAAAGTCAATATAAAAAGCTCAAAAAAAAAAAACTTACTACCTATAAATTCTTAATAAATATTAAATAAACATATTTTACATACAAAATTTAAATTTATTATTTAATTACTTACTTCATACTTGGTAAATGTCGCATAATAACATCAAGTGCTGAAACAGCTTCATTTGGTACAGGTGGACCTTGTCCTTGTAAAGCTTCTTGTAAACTAACTAGACTAACTTGTGCAACCCATTTAATTTGTACTTTAAAACAACGATCACGTCCTTCACCAGGTCCAGGTAATGTTACTTCAAGTTCAATACGTTCACGACCAAATGGTAATGGATCTTTTGTATATAAATTTCTTTTACCATCAAATGCTGGATGTTGAGTATTAAATATATTTTGAAATTTATTAACCATTGTATCAATTATTTCACGATTAACACGTTTAGGACATTTATCTGGTTGTATATTAAGATCATAATGTTGTATAAGTATAGGTGGTATACGTATTGAAAAATGATTTGCGCGTAATTTAATTGAACGGCCTTCACGACCAAAATCTGGTCGTGGTGGTGGTGATAAATCAAGTGGAGGATTAAGCATTGTCATTATACCTGTACCAGGTGGTGTTGATGGCATTGATGTCATATGAGGTGGTGGTGGAAGACCAATTGCATTTGTTGTTGATGAGCTTGATGAACTTGTACTTGTATTAATAATAGTTGTACCATTCATTGATTCATTTCCATGTAATGATGATGATAATGGTGGTTGACCAATAGGTGGAAGAAACATTGTAAATAAAAAAATTTGATTATAGATATTTTTGAAACGAGATTTGTCAATAAAATGCTCAAATGAGACAAGTTTGTTTTTCGTTTTTTCGTTTTTTTTTTTTTATTGAAATAATAATACAAGATTCACATTTGACGAACTATTAAAGATAAAAATAAAATTATGAAGATAATAATGAGTTAAGATTATAATGAAAAATATTAAAAAAAGAAAAATAAAAAAAAAACAACACACATTTGATCATGATGATGATGGAGGCAGCCAACACATAAGCACACAAAATAGAATAGAATACAATGGCCGAAGCCATTAATGGTGATTTATTCTCTCCACATGCATTTTTATCTTTGTTTAAATAAAAAATTTCAATATGGAAAGATTTATTAGAAAAAATATGTTAGAAAAATATCGAGAAAGATTTTTTTGAAAAAAAAAGAAAAGAAAAATTAAAAAAGAAAATGAAAAAATGAATTTATTTTCATAGATGGCGCTAGTATTGTCACGCGATTAATATTGACAATAGGTGTTTGTTAGAACAGATGGTGAAGTCATCTTCGGGCAATAGCACATCATCTTTACTTTTAGTCACATCTTCATACTGATTGGTGTGATTTACATACATAGCGCTGCTTGTGAATGAGGGCACTGTAATTACAATGAAGATGTTTCAGATGAACTAGAATGATTTGATTTTTTGTTAGTTTACAGCCTATAATTTCTAGTATATTAGTAAAAAAATTTTCACGTTTATTCCATTGATGTATTTAGTTAATATTAACGATACAATCATGATATCGCGTTTTTCGTCTTATATTGAGAAACTATTGCATGCCTATTGTAAAGTGACATTTTCTTTATAATGCATAATTCAATACAATAAATTGTCTTTTAGGTAAAACGTAATTTTTTATGGTAGCTTTCCTTCAATTGAGGGTTAAAGAAACAATGTTTTTTTGACCTGAACATGACATTTTCAGCAGAAACCATCTTTTGTACATATAATAGTCAGTCAGTTTTATTATTCAATGTATCAATAGAGCGAATACTAAAAACTGTATGATATATTCTATTTGAATAGATATTTCATATTGGAAAATTTAAGTTAAAATATCCTTATTACCTTATGAATAGCAGAAGTAAAAAGCTTACTGTAATTCCACTAATAGCCTAAGTGCAGATTTTATCAAAAGGATAGCTAATTTTTGCACATGGCGTCTATGCACGAATAAATGAGATACGGCCAAAAAATGGTAGGCCCTTGGAAGCAGGAATCTGATGATTGGATTCTATGGTCGAATTTATCCAGTTACGCCCGACACCGACTGTAACTGGATAGAGCCGACAATGAGATACGATTATTGGATTTTTGCTTCCAAGTTTCTACGATTTTTTTGCCGGAAGTTCACGGATTTGGATACTGAAATCATTGACCTGGATGTAGGCATTGGATAAAATTTAGAATAACACGCCATGTTAAGTTTTATTTCATATATCTTTGTCTGATGAGATATATATCTAATCTTTTACTGATACTACGGTTACTATTTATAACGTAACAAGTATATATATATATATAACTTAAGTGGTATAATTGGTTTTAATTTCATACATGAGAATATTGTACAGAAAAAGATTTTCTACAAACTAGACGACCAACATAATTTTTCAATATGAAATATTTATTCAAATAGAATATCTTATGCCATTTTTGTAGTATTCTTTCTATTGGTATATTGAGCAATAAAATTAACTAAACATTATATAGGAAAACTTCCATAAAAAGTACTTCTGACCTAGATCACAATTTATTCTATTGAATTATGTATTATAAAAAAAATGTCAACTTACAATAGGCATGCATCAGATTGCAAAAATATGTTGTTAGCTAATTTTGGAAGAATGAAAAAAAAAAACAGCTTGCAATAATTATATTATAAATAAAAGTTAACCAGAATAATCAATTGACCTGACATTTTTTTATTAGTCTACTCAAGACTATGACCTGTAATTTGACGAAAACCAGATCATTCTAGTTCATCTAGATTTAGAGATATACACAAAATAAAATAAAATAATCTATTGATTGGATATGACAAATAGAATTTTCTTTCTCTGTTATTTGTAACTAATCAAAGAAGTTATTTATGATGAATAGAGAATTTCATTAAATATTTATATCGATTATTTTGTTCAATTTTTTCTAATGGACAATTCCTTATAGAGATTCAAAAGGTCAATGTTTTATACAAATTTTCTCTTCGAGAAGGGTCAGCTCGACCTTCAAAGGAACACTGCTCCCATATTGGATAGAGCATTGCAAAAGATCACGATTAATATCAACAAATAAGTCAATTGTAAATTAAAATAGAGTTTCTCAATTTATAGAAGAAATCTTTTATTTTTTGATTTATTTATTATATTCTTCTAAATCTCGTTTGTCAATAACAATTTTTCCTGTTTCATTCGTATAAAATTTTTTGATTTCTTCCAATTGATTTTCAATTTGTTGGATATTCATATTTGTTATTTTTGTATTGATATTTTGAAGATCATCGAATGATGTTTGAAGAGGATTTTTAAAATTTTCATTTGATAATTTTGTTCGAATTGAATCTAATTGAATAATAATTGTTTCAATATTATCTCTGTTTGAACAAGAAAACCATTTTGAATTTTTAAATCTTAACAAATACTTTTTATATAGAAAAAGAATTTTGATTTATTAAATTTTTCCTACTGAAATATTTGTTGTGTATCATCAATTATAATAAGAATAAAACGAGGTAACCAACGTGTTATTTGATCAGGTGAACCTTGAATTAAAAAATAGATTATTTTTCTTATTGAATTTGTTTTCCTTTTTCGACATACGAATAAGAAGACGAATTGTATTGATCTAGAAAAGAATCAAATAAGAGTGAGCCAAAAGTTTCCTAAGAAAAATTTTTGCTTTTTTTTAGCTTCTTTGAAAGTGTTTCCAATGAATCAAAAGTTATAGATTAGGATTAGAATTTCGTTCTGTTTCTAAGTATTGAACTTAGAAACTATTCGAGTTTTCTTATCTTTTGACTGGGCATTTCAATTTTCATTTTTCCTTAATTCTCGTATTTGAAAAATAGACTTTTGGGGTGAAAACCGTTTTGGAAAGAAAGAAGTTCTCGATAAAGTGTCTATCACTTCATTTGGATAAAAGCTACAACTCAGTTCAATATAGCATTTTGTATAGAAGTGTTTGCTTTGACAAAGCGACCGACACAGATAATTTTTAGCACTTTCGAAAAGAAACTTATAGAGGTTAACAAATGTCTACCAGTTCACCATTCAATTTGATTCTTAAAGATTTTTAAAAATTCTCTGACTTTTCTCGAATAAAAATATATACTATTTCTAATCTCATATTCAAAGAGAACATAGAATTTCTGATCCTCGTCCATACTTTGTAGTTTGTCTGAGACACTTTCAAACAGGAGAAAATGATTGAACATTTGTACCAGAAACTTTAGCTCATACGTTTCGTTCAAAATAATGTTTTGAGTCATTGAAAAATTTTTCTCACTGCTCTCGAACAAAAGCAGAGACGAAATTTCTAAGTCTACATTTGGAAAGTACACAAAATGTTGATCATAACTCATAGTTTTTCATTTATCGGAAACATTTTTTCATAGAAGTTAAAAATAAAAAGAAAAAAGATTTTCTCTCGAAACATTTTGGTTCACTTGTTAAAATAAAATTCATATGCTCAATTTTTCAAAACATCATACATTTTCAATTCTTGTTCCAAATGCTTGAAATTTTCCTAAAACATTCTTTTCTAAATTTTCACGAATTGCAAATTGACTATTCAATCGCATATAATTTGTTGATATTGTCTCATTTATTAAATTAATAAAAATATTTGGTTTATTCATATCAGATTGAAAATCTTCAGTCAAAATATATATTGTATAGGATGATTCTATTAAGAACAAGAAGAAAAAAAAAGATGCATTTAATACAATAAGTAATAAAAATTTGAATTTCAATCTTTTACCATATTCATGAGTTGAGGCTATTATTGTATTAGATATCGGTTGTGGTATAGCTGTATGTTGATTCTTTATGTTTCGATTTACTACTATAGAAATAGATTGTAGAATATGAAGATTTTAAAAATGACTTATTCGATATATTTATGGTGAAAAATAATTTTATTTTATTTTTTTTAATAAACAAAGACATATTATTCAACATGCTTCTGGAATATGAAGATATTGAGAGAGGGAGAGGAACAATAGAGATTTCAATGTTGTTATTTTTAGTTACACAGTTAACACTGTTCCAATGCAGTAACATCCATATCACCTAATACAGTTGATAGTGTACTCGGTCTTATGTCTGGATGAGACATGTCATTGAACCAAATCAATATTCTGCTAAATAAAACTTGCAAAACATTAAGATAATAAAGATTCCTGATTCTTATCAGTTGCAAGGCATAAAAAGTTTGGATCAGGCGGTTCGAAAGAAAAATCTCTGTGTCGGACTGGACGGCTCATTGCGAGGCCTGGCTCGTGTATGATTAGAGTTGTGTACAATCAACTTTTCATAATTCTGATTGTATGAAATGTTCTTATTCTAAATATTTAATAAGTTACATTTCTATCTTATGGTAATATATATGAGAATTCTTTTTTTCGTTATGTAATCATTGATGGAAGCTCAATCTGTCCTATGAATTTTGAGTGTTTTGAAAAATTTTCAACCTATTAGCGAGTTGAGATGCAAACTATTTGTATAGAAAAAATTGAATCCTTCTTCTTTAGACTATTTTACAAATGATCGAGTTTCGTCTGACAAATTAGTTTAATTATGTAATTTAATTTCTTTTTTTTCTAATGATTAATCTCAAATTTCATTGTCTTAATCAATCTGAAATATCTTTAAAAATAAAAGATTTAATCATCCAAATTATTTCTTTTTATTATTATGATCATCTTACATTTGATAGGCTTTCGTATTTG